ACGTTTTTATTAAATCGCTTCAGTGTTTTTTTTTATATTCTACTAAGCCAGCGCTTATCTACGATCCCACCTGATGGTAAGTGGTGATGTAGCCTAAGATGGTGAAGCGCACTGACTTCACAAAAGCCTATTCACTCTTGCCTTAAAGACACCCACACTGTAATTGGATGTAAAGATAGATGCTGGCAACTTCTTCCACTCCTTTGCTGTACGCAATATGAACGACGTGGCGAACCGTTTGGTTCGAATACGTGGTAAGTCAACAAGGAAAGGGTGGAGACTGGCTGAACGTCTGGTTGTCCGAAGGTGGGAGGGAGAGGGAGGAATTAAATTATGCCATTCCTGCGCACACTCTCCGAAATGCATCCTGTGAAAACCGAAAGGCTAGACTACTTTGCGTCTGTGTTCGAGGCTGGTAAGATTGGTTTTAACCAAATTCGGGTCACCAATAAGCCTCGTAGCATGCCTTTCCATTGAGGTGGCATTTTGCTGCACCAGCTCATATATGGCACCAATACTCCATCCATAAAAAAATATTAATTTTTCTAGCATACCACATGCTAAAAAATTTAATATTTTTTTAAATTTCACTTGTTTTGTGTATATGTTACGTCATATATACATTCATCATCATTACAGCCCTTCAAAAGTCCACTGCTGAACATAGGCCTCCCCCAAGGAATGCCACAAAGCGCGGTCCTGAGCCACCTACATCCATCGACTTCCTGCATATCTTACCAGGTCGTCACTCCATCTAGTGGGGGGACGCCCTACACTTCGTCCGCCGGTACGAGGCCACCACTCGAGAACCTTTATTCCCCATCGGTTGTCGGTTCTTCGTCATATATACGCCACTTCTTAATCGATTTTAATGATTATTTTCTATTAATGAAAGGTGAATCCAATTAACTTTGATGAAAAAATTGATTTTCAAGTAGACAAATAATAGTGCTAGATTTAAGTTGTTACTTTAAAGTTTGTTATGAGTTATGACATTCCTTAGATCTCTCAAAAGGAACACCATTTAGCTATAAATAATTTAAAATTAAAAATTTTGTACAACCGACTTCAATATAAATTATTAAGAATAACTCAAAAACTACTAGTCAGATCTTGATCAAATTTATATGGGATGGAAAAATCCTGTATTTATTCGATACTCTACGTGTTAGCTTTGCACCAGCTTATTTTTAGTTCATTGAATTCTTATTATTTTTAGTTTTTTTTTTACGTTTTATAGATTAAAGAGTTTTACAGCGAATAAGTATAGTGCTGCTCATGCAAGTTCTTGTTGTTTTAGAACTATACGTATACTTATTTAGAAACTATAATCTTTATATATAAAAATTACATGTCACATTGTTTGTCCGCGATGAACTCCTAAACTACTGAACTGATTTCAAAGTAATTTTGCACACTGTGTGCAGTTTGGTCCAACTTGAGAGATAGGATAGTTTTTATCCCTATAGGTCATCATCATCATCATTACAGCCCTTCACAAGTCCACTGCTGAACATAGGCCTCCCCCAAAGAATGCCACAAAGCACGGTCCTGAGCCACCTGCATCCATCGACTTCCTGCATGTCTTACCAGGTCGTCACTCCATCTCGTGGGGGGACGCCCTACACTTCGCCTACCGGTACGAGGCTGCCACTCGATAACCTTTCTTCCCCATCGGTTGTCGGTTCTTCGAGCTATATGGCCGGCCCACTGCCACTTCAGCTTACTAATTCGTTGGGCTATGTCGGTTATTCTGGTTCTACTGCGGATATCCTCATTCCTAAGTTTATCACGCAGAGAAACTGCGAGCATAGCCCTCTCCATAGCTCGCTGAGCGACCTTGAGCTTCCTCATACGGCCAGCAGTGAAGGACCACGTCTCAGTTCCGTAAGTCATCACTGGCAACACGCACTGGTTGTACAATTTCGTTTTAAGGTTTTGAGGTATGTCTGACGAGAAGATGTGTCGTAGCTTCCCAAACGCTGCCCGTCCCTATAGGTGACCATCAATATTTTTTTATTAAGAATTTTTATAGGACACAGGGTCATCGGAGAGGGCAGAACAACTTCTGCCTGGCCAGCTAGTATATTATAAATAATTATCTCCATCTTATTACATTACATAATTATCCCCAAGAACAGCCTAGATTAAAATACAATATAGAACATAAATATAAAAAAACCACATCCATCGCATTGATACATGTAAATAGATGTATAAAAAATAAATATCATACTAGCGATCCGCCCCGGCTTTGCTCGGGTGATTTCTGGATTTCGACAACAGCGCCATCTACCGAGTTCAATTGTGAATCTAAACCATTCTCGAATCAACACAAAATTTCATTAAAATCGGTTCTGCCGCTTAGGAGAAGTTCAGTCACATATACACGAACAGAAGAATTTTATATATAACTAGCGATCCTCCCCGGCTTCACAAGGTTGATTTCTGAACCTCGACAACAATACCACTTACCGGGTCCAATAACTATAATACTTGTGAATCTAAGCCATTCTCTAATCAACTTAATCACACACACAAAATTTCATCAAAATTGGTCCAGCCGTTTAGGAGTTCAGTCACATACACACGAACAGAAGAATTGTACATATAAAGATGACATATTTATGTGATAATAATAAATATTTATCATCTATGTAAATAGATTTATCATATAATATATCGTTTACTTTAAGGCATTCCACCATCTCCAAGATTTGAGCACTACACCTCCCCGAGGGAATGTGATCCTCGATTTAAGCAAACGTTTTACAAATAGCTAACATTTAAATGAATCAATGTATATACTGAAATTATCGTAAATTCGACGGAGACGTATGGGAGAATAATGTAGGGCCGCAGAATATTAGGCCACAGACAAACAAGCAACCAGTCGTTAAGTCTAAAAATAGGTCCTGAAAATGCTACCACAAAAATATTTACTTTGTAAATTTGGTATTTGTTTTTAAAAGACACGTTTTATTTTATTAGTGTTTAAATTATAATGCTTTTATCATTGATTTAAAGATTAGTAAACAAGGCATTTGATTTTATTATAACTTTATAAGAGGTAATAATGAGACATTTCTTTTAAAATGTCATGTTAAAACGGTTTATCGAAATGGGAATTTATTTAGTCTTGTCTGGATCGAAGCTGTTGAAAATATTATCATTACAAATAATAATTTAGGCCATTCACGTAGCGGGGCAGTCGTACGAACGATCTTATGAACTTCAGTCGAATGCGACAGGTACGACCGTGAATTGATTGGTCGCAAAGCGGTCCGTACGACGAAGGCCATTTCCGTATCCTTTTTTATTTTTTATTTAATTAAACAGTGTACATGCTGGCTTACAGTATGTCCAAAATGCGAGCATGCTAATTTACAAATTACAATTTAAAGTAATAACATATGTATATATATCGTTTCACATAATACCAGCGTAAAATAGCAGCTTAACGCTGCTGTGTTTCGTATGGTGAGTGTAGAGAACCGGAGACCCTTTTTACTGGAAACGAGGCATTCCATCTTAGTCCTCACGGGTGACAACGCATCTGCATTTTGGTTCGTAATCGAAGATAGATGTAGATGTCTATGGGCCACAGCAACCACTTACCATCAGGTGGACTGTGTGCTCGTTTGTCACCCTTATCCTATAAAAAAAAGTGATAACATACAATACAAGATACATGTCAAAAGGTCAAATAAATTAAAGAATACATGTCTAATAGATCAATTAAATTAAAAAATACATGCCAAATAGATTAGATGTCAAACAGATTACATTTCAAATAGATTAACCAAAATGTTATTGTCTAATTAACTAAATAAGATTAAAGATTAAATTATCCTCAGCATACTGACTGCGTCTGTCGTAGCGTGAGTGTGAATATTTGCAACACTGCGAACTACCAAGCTAATTAATCAATCAATTAATGTCAAGGAAGGGAAGTATCAGTATTTGAAACGTAAAGTGGAAGAAAACAATTAAAATATTGTAAGAAATTATTCCACTTCCAATGTTAGAAATTATTACCAAAATTATTTAAATAAAAGAACACTACTCGGTAACAAACACGCCTTACCACTAGAAACTATTCTGGAGGCCAATCGTTAAAGACAATAAAGGTGTGAGAGCGTATGCTCAACTTGCTCTCCTACCCACGCAATCAATCATTATCAGCAAAAATACAGTTCGACCAACCATAACATGTTCCCGTCACAAACACACACCATTGTGAAACCACCACATGAAAAACCCAATTACATGATAACGCCAAAGTATGCAAACCAACACCACCCATCTCAATATAACACAGGGTAGCCTCTCAGCAAAATGATTTTCCTTGCCTACACTAGTAGAATACTCCAACAGGCATAGTAACAACAGTGAGACTCGTAGAATTACAGACTGATGCCCCTTAATCGTATATATATATATATGAGTCGATATCGCTGTATGACAAGCAAAAAGTCGGTGGATGCAGTTGGCTTAGGCCCGGGCTTTATGGCATTCCTTAGAGGAGGCCTGTGTTCAGCAGTGGAAAGAGTTGTAATGTTGTTGTCGACAAGTAAGAATTTTTCTTTACAATTTTATACTTAACAAGCCCAATGATGAAAAAAGTAATTTAAAAAACCCGACTGTGTAAAAAAGTTTACTCAAGCGAGAAAAATTTTATACCCTATGTCCATTGAGTTATATGTACTACGTACTAGAGAAGCCATTTCAAACATTGACTATGTTCAACTGAACTGTAGTGCAATCCATACAAACTAAATATTGCGTAAATTGAAGATTTGTGAATTCCATAAAATAATTATTATTACATTTTATTTAGAAATATAATATGTTTGTTTAGATTAAATTAAGATATTTTATATTAAATTCTTATATTTATTTTATATTAATATCTTATTTTATATCAAATTAAAGTCTTCGCGCATGCGCAACTACTACTCCCGCGCATGCGCGAAGGTATAGAGTAGGACACAATTTTTGTTTGGAATGGCGTCTCTAGTACGTAGTACATATAACTCAATGCCTATGTCACTTCCACAATTAAGACGAATCTAATGAAACCCCATGTTAAAATATATATTAATAATTTCATATGTAAGGACCTAATATATAATGTATAAGTGTAAACGGTTCCATTTAAAAGTATGGTGAGCGATATTAATTTATATCTCGAGATGTAATATACATTATATCCCATAGTGAAAAGCGGGCTTTAGTCGCTACGTGAATGGAACGCATGAAGTACAACAAACTCTTATCATTCTTCTCTAAACATTGTTTAATTTATTTTATATATGTACCCCTAATTCTGGCAAATAAATGTATTTTCTTTCTTCTTCCTTTCTTTTATTTTATTAGGATACATTTTAAATCCTTTATTAGGCACGCTTGCGACTTGTCTATTTTTCTGGTTTTTATAGGATACAAAGTGGGTTTATTGTTTAGTCCGTAAGTTCTTTTGCTTTGTTCTTTGTACCTGTTGCCATCATGATCGCGTTTACCTTAAGATTCAACGCATTGGTTGAACTTCGTACTTGGCAAGCCGCCATATTGGCTTTCCTCCAGGACGTCTGTTATACCATCTCGACAGAAAACAGTTCACATTTGACTAGAAAACTGAACAGACGTTAGAGTTTTCTGTTAAATAATCGATTATAAACAATTTGAATAACATTAATAATTGCTAGCGGAAATTAAAAGTAATCAAAAGTTTTATTGTTGCGTTTGTTTGATAACGCGGGAAAAGCGAAAATCGCGCCGGTTTTGCCGTCAGTTTTTTTTTACGAGTAGAGACAAAGGCATTGTGTTGTCCTTCCTTGTGAAATCATTTTTGAGTTCGATTTTGCTACAAAGAAAAGGTAAGTTCTTTCAAAATCTTTTACATTTAAAATATGTATAGTTAATTGTATTTCGTAACGGAAATTACCCTTTTAAATATTTTTTTTTGCACAATATTGTAGAAGTAGTTTATCCGACCAACCTTATGGTACTAATAAAATCTAGCTAATCAATGGACATGAAACATCTCTAATACTAACTCTAGGATGCATATGAATTCATTGGATAAATAAAAGTTATAAAAATTAAGAAAAAAATGCCAAATCGATTTTTGCGTAGTAGAGCCATGTTGCTAAAACGTGGTGATTAACTGTTTGCATGCTGCAGCTATATAATTGCTGCTTGTTTTGTATATTTGTATTCTTCATTCTAAAAAAAATAGTGTAAAGAATTATTCAAATTGAAATTTCAGTCGACTTCTAAAAAGGAAGAGGTTCTCAATTCGACTGTGCGTTGCTGTTGTGTTTTGTATGTTTGTTACAAATTGTGAACCGACTTTACATTGCTGTATAGAACCAATTGTGAACTATGTAAATGCTGATGTAAAATACTATCTATATGCTGTGAAGATTGCTAATATTCCCTTTAACCACAGCTTACAATGTTGTTAGGAGTGGTACACGACAGTAGTCGAATGGTGGATTCGAACCTACGAACTTTTAAGTTTTTTTTTTGTTTTTTTTTTATAGGATAAGGGTGACAAACGAGCACACAGTCCACCTGATCGTAAGTGGTTGCTGCGGCCCATAGACATCTACATCTATCCTCTATTACAAATCAAAATGCAGATGCGTTGTCACCCGTGAGGACTAAGATGGAATGCCTCATTTCCAGTAAAAAGTTCGTGGTCCGCACCCTGTCATTAGGCTACTATCGCTTCTAATACTACATAAAACTGCAGATTTTATGATTCGTCATTATACAAACGGCATGCAAGCGCGTGCTGAGTCCAATCTTAGAAGAGGGCAGATGGTGACTCGCATAATTATTATAATTATTATTATTTGTCAAATCATGAAATGGCGGCCTAGGATGAAATGCTAGGCCGCCATTTCATGATTTGACAAATAACTTAACCTCTATACTATGTTGTGCCTAATTTATACATTTATTAAATGTCGGATTTGCTAGCTGCATCTAAACCTTCTGCTTCTAACACTGATTTGACTGGACAGTTACAATCAATGTTGACAGAAGTCGTTATTATAATTACATTGATCAAAGCAGACTACGATGTATGTAACGCAAGCTCCCAGCCCTTTGTTTACCACGCGAGCACGCGATCGCCGTTCTCATCTTTATGATCACCAGGCTTTTTAAGTAGTGTATGCGATCTGAAAAGTGAAGTAACAGACAACGTGCGTATTACAATTGAGCACTCCTCTTTTCACTCTTAATAGGGTTTTTAGGACAGGAAAGATTCCGCCACGCAGCTCTAATGTGTGTTGCCGGAGTTCACATAAGTATATATCCCCGAAATATTTCATTTCTTTATTGAGTTATTCGATTTATTTGCTTAAATCATGGACAGATAAGGATAATAACAATTATTTAACCACATTACAACCAGTACTTTTTAAAACACACATTTTTGCTATGTGATTGCAAAAAGTAAATATGTAAATTTACTTAGATAACACACACAAGTGACACAGGTATATCCAATACAATATAATCAGACTTAAACAAATTAAATCATAAATGACATTAAGATTTATAAAATAAAGATAGTTAATTATAGTTGCAGTAGATAACAGGTTTCCTCAAGGAGCTTATCACCGTGTAGTGGCAGTGTAAAATATCCACTATCCCAAATCGTCCCGTGGCTTTCGTAAGAGGCGACAGAATTAACCAAAACAGAAGATGGGCAGCAGCGTCCCCTTAGAAATCATTAGAAAAGAAAAAGAAAAAAGAATAAAATGCTGCCAAACGTGCCAACTATGCCAAATATCCCCCTATGAAGCAATCTGTTGGAGAGGCCTTTATTCGGCAGTGGACTTTTCATAGGTTGTACGGTACGCTTTATTTCCGCTGATCTGTGATAAAACACAGGCCTAAAAATTTCTGGCGAAAACTTTGCACGCGTACTATATGAATTAATGTCGGAGTGAGACGGCTGGTGGTGCTTCACCACCGTGCCTCGTAAAGGATGTACAGCCTTTGGTCCTGCGTCTGATCTCTTTCCGGTAGGGTAATATTGCGGTCCTATCGGTTAATGAAAGTGGGTGAATAGAGACTGCATCTGTGCTTTCGCATATACTCGGGCACTATAATCCTGTCCTGCGCAGATGGCTGGTCTCCGTTGAGACTGATCGCTATGACCGAAAATCGATCTGTTCTTAAGAGTTAAAATGAGCTCCGCTCTTCTGGAACTTCATCACTGGTCTTTTATCACCGTTTTAATAAGATTCGTTTGCACCCAGTAAACAACGTTGCAGTTCTTATTCTTAATTTATAAAATTAGCCCAAAATAAACCCAGGAGGCCAAGATCAGAAAAACAATCGAACATGCGGACTGCGTGGGCGTGTGTTTGTAAACCAAAGTGCGCAATGACCTGAAATATGTTGGCGTCGTGTTTATTTCCTTCTAAAATCAATGACCTATTTCATAAAGCTTGTGATAGATAATGTAATAGATAATGGACAGTCCAGCGATAATTCCTTGACCTATATTTAAATTTATTGTGTTTAATTTTTTATAATACATATGACAGAAAAAAAACAGAGAGTAGGGATCTATATCCATAGAGCCTACTAAATTATGTAAGGCGCTTAGATGTTTTTAATAGAGTTCAACCTATAACCTCATTTATAATACTGTCCCTATACAAACGTATTCCTCTATTTTCTTTGTAGATAATGACTCCAGAACTTTTTTTCAGTTTCTTCACGATAGTATATATATCTATCACTGCCATATAACATGTTCCTCTGTTTGTTTGTTTTTTCCATCTCATCATTTCAGTTATACCGCCGACTTCAAGCAAAAATATTGACGAAAATAAAAACATATTAAAAACTTGTGACCGCAATTCGGTTCTTGAAAAATAAAATAAAATAGGTCCAGCCTTGGAGAAGAAAACATTGGATTACGGGATGATGATTTCGACAATTTTTCATAGGTATAATCAGTCCGAACTGCAGATTTATTTCGGTTACTTATGTCTTAATTCTGTCGTTAGGGTACTTTTGTAAACTATTTAGTAATCTGTGGTTAGGGCACAGCGTGACATTAATAGTTCGTTAAAAACCTATTCTTGAAATTTCCCGCTGCCCCAATAACACCTCATATGCCCGTGCGTGATTAGTTTAAAAAACCTGCATACTTTTCGTACTAAGCTATGAAATGAAATGAAAACTCTTTATTAACACAATTTTATTGGCTTCGTATATTAATAACATTATAATATATTATAATAATTCAGTTACACATTTGATTGATAAAATTTAGAAAAACATTTTGCCAAACAAAACATTGGTACGAAATAGTTAGTTATAAGATAATCTTATTTCGTTTTGACTAGAAATTTCAAACTTTTTTATTTTGCGTTTTAGTTAATTAAAAATGGTTAAATTACATAAAAACAAGTCGCCCAACGTGGGGCTCGAACCCACGACCCTGAGATTAAGAGTCTCATGCTCTACCGACTGAGCTAGCCGGGCTGGTGGTAATATAACAAATTAAGAGGTTATTACATTCGTATCTACATATAAGAAAATGTGTGATAATTTAGAAGTTCTAAATAACAGAAATGCTTTCCATGAAGATTGCATGCGCCATCAGATTAGATAATAAGGTACGCGAGGGTAATATGGTCACCTTAAGCTATGCCGTCCTATAAAACCTAAAGAAGGAGGAAGACAAAGACACAAACACAAAGTCGTATATACTATAACTAAACATATTAAGAAAATATAGCAAACAAGTTTTGGCAATAATTAGGGACACCTTGAAAAATTATCTTAAAAAAAACTAACTAGATACATCGACTAAAATATTTACCATAATGTCAACTGTCAAAATCGCGTCGCTAAAGCAGTGCCCGTTTGACCTTTTATTGATTTTTTTATTTGATTGACTGATGAAGAGCTATCGTATCGTAAATCCATCTATGCAAACAATGCTGTAGATTTTGAGTTATAAGAAAGTGACCATATTACCCTCACGCACAACCATTAACTAAAGGCTACAAAAGGTCACGGTAACAACAGTGTTGCCACTTTAATACACCGGATTATACCTAAAGCACATTATCCCCAACAAACATCACGCAATGATCATGGGATGTGATGACCCTAGTGAGAATACTAGGAAAGAGTCAATGATATTATATTGTCATCGGTTTTTAATAAGTCTACAAAATAAACTGCAAAACTGAATTACAAAATTCCATCACATTCATACATGTTAGACTAATATAAAACGTAAAAAATATTACATTTAAAATACAAAATTAGGTTAGTGTGTGTATTTTAAAGATACATATATAACTGGGTATATTGTGTTGAATTGTTCTTTATTCGATGAACAAAAACAATATGTTTTTGTTCATCGCAAACAATGTAAGAAATTATTGTGAGAAAGCGAAAAACGTGTTAGAAGTTTATGAAGAAAACCGTATTTCTTTGAAGAAATATCGTTCAAAACTTGTCAACTTTGACTACCCACTGGAAGAACTACCACTTCAAACTCCTTTAAATAATAATAGTAAGCCTATGTGCAACACTGGGAACTTAACTTACGTGAAGCATAAATAACTCTTGTCCCACCAGAACCCAGAAATAGGTATGTGCAAAAATGCGTCTTTGTTCTTAATGAAGGTTTACGAGTTGAGATTTAAAACGTGTTGAACCTACGATACAACAATAAAAGTCAGATAAATTAGTATAAAGTTTGTTTAAATGTTTATGTTATCAAACAAAACTAATTTTATGAAATTTATCACGTTTAATTTTTACTTTTACCTTCCATTTAGGTTATATTAGAATGTTTTCGAAAATATTTAAATAGCATTCGACA